GGGATTGGCAGTCGTTTAATTAGAATGACCTTGTCAGCACCGTATGAGAAATCAAAGTCTTTGGGTTCCGGGGGGAGTATGGTCGCAAGGCTGAAACTTAAAGGAATTGACGGAAGGGCACCACCAGGAGTGGAGCCTGCGGCTTAATTTGACTCAACACGGGGAAACTTACCAGGTCCAGACATAGTAAGGATTGACAGATTGAGAGCTCTTTCTTGATTCTATGGGTGGTGGTGCATGGCCGTTCTTAGTTGGTGGAGTGATTTGTCTGGTTAATTCCGTTAACGAACGAGACCTCCGCGTGCTAAATAGTCCTGCTTACCATTTTTGGTAGGTGTGTGGACTTCTTAGAGGGACTTTTGGGTAATCAAACCAAAGGAAGTTGGAGGCAATAACAGGTCTGTGATGCCCTTAGATGTTCTGGGCCGCACGCGCGCTACACTGGTACGCTCAACGAGTATATAACCTTGATCGATAGGTCTGGGTAATCTTTTGAATACGTATCGTGCTAGGGATAGATTATTGCAATTATTAATCTTGAACGAGGAATTCCTAGTAAACGCAAGTCATCAGCTTGCATTGATTACGTCCCTGCCCTTTGTACACACCGCCCGTCGCACCTACACCGCCCGTCGCACCTACCGATTGAATGACTCGGTGAGAAATTGGGACCGTTGTTTCGCTTGCTTCATTGTGAGTGGAACGGTGGGAACTTTTTCTAACCTCGCCATTTAGAGGAAGGTGAAGTCGTAACAAGGTTTCCGTAGGTGAACCTGCGGAAGGATCATTACCACATCCGTAGGTGAACCTGCGGAAGGATCATTACCACACCTTAAAAAACTATCCACGTGAACCGTTTCAACCCAATAGTTGGGGGTCTTATTTGGCGGCGGCTGCTGGCTTAATTGTTGGCGGCTGCTGCTGAGTGAGCCCTATCAAAAAAAAGGCGAACGTTTGGGCTTCGGCCTGATTTAGTAGTCTTTTTTTTCTTTTAATCCCAATTCTTAAATACTGAATATACTGTGGGGACGAAAGTCTCTGCTTGTAATAAAATAGGCAACTTTCAACAGTGGATGTCTAGGCTCGCACATCGATGAAGAACGCTGCGAACTGCGATACGTAATGCGAATTGCAGAATTCAGTGAGTCATCGAAATTTTGAACGCATATTGCACTTTCGGGTTAGTCCTGGAAGTATGTCTGTATCAGTGTCCGTACATTAAACTTGACTTTCTTCCTTCCGTGTAGTCGGTGGAGGAGATGTCAGATGTGAAGTGTCTTGCGATTGGTCTTCGGACCGGCTGCGAGTCCTTTTAAATGTACTAAACTGAACTTCTCTTTGCTCGAAAAGTGGTGGCGTTGCTGGTTGTGAAGGCTGCTATTGTGGCAAATTGGCGACTGGTTTGTCTGCTGCGGCGTTAATGGAAGAGTGTTCGATTCGTGGTATGGTTGGCTTCGGCTGAACAATGCACTTATTGGACGTTTTTCCTGCTGTGGCGTGATGGACTGGTGAACCATAGCTCGGTGGCTTGGCTTTTGAATTGGCTTTGCTGTTGCGAAGTAGGGTGGCAGCTTCGGTTGTCGAGGGTCGATCCATTTGGGAACTTAATGTGTACTTCGGTATGCATCTCAATTGGACCTGATATCAGGCAAGATTACCCGCTGAATTTAAGCATATAACTAAGCGGAGGAAAAGAAACTAACAAGGATTCCCTCAGTAACGGCGAGTGAAGCGGGAAGAGCTCAAGCTTAAAATCTCCGTGCAAGTTTTGTGCGGCGAATTGTAGTCTATTGAGGCTGTTGTCAGCACAGCGACTTGGGACAAGTCCCTTGGAAGAGGGCAGCATGGAGGGTGATACTCCCGTTCATTTCTGAGTTGCTCGTGCGTACGATACGCTTTCTTTGAGTCGAGTTGTTTGGGAATACAGCTCAAAGTAGGTGGTAAATTCCATCTAAAGCTAAATATTGGTGCGAGACCGATAGCGAACAAGTACCGTGAGGGAAAGATGAAAAGAACTTTGAAAAGAGAGTTAAAGAGTACCTGAAACTGTTGAAAGGGAACCGTATCGTTTCTAGTGTTTATAATAATCCTATGCATATTTCATTGGCGAGTGTGTGCGTGCGTGTGCTGTGGCAGCGGCTTTTTTGGCTGCGCTCGGCGTGTGTGCTGTGTGTGCTTGCTGGTGCTCTGTGCTGCGGTGGGACGTCAAGGTCAGTTCGTATGCTGCGGGAAATGGCTGCCGAGGAGGTAGGGCTTACGCTTGCGTTTGTCTGTTATATCTTGGTGGACGAGTAGCCGTGGTTAAGACTGAGGTGCCTACAACATGCTTTTGAGTGGGTTTGTGTCTCCGTGTGCGCCGTGTGCGGATAGTATGGTCTGCGTCGTGTGTGCTTGTGTGTGGATTGATGCGAGCTTTAACTTGTTGCTGTTCGGGACTCTGGCGAAATGGAGCGATACGACCCGTCTTGAAACACGGACCAAGGAGTCTAACATGTGTGCAAGTATTAGGGTGTGGAAACCCAAATGCGCAATGAAAGTGAAGGGCAGCGTAAGTTGTCTGAGGTAGGAAATGCTGCGGGCTTCGGTTTGCGGTGTGGCACTATCGACCGATCATGAACCTCCGTTGGTGAAAGATTTGAGTATGAGCATATATGTTGGTACCCGAAAGATGGTGAACTATGCCTGAATAGGGTGAAGCCAGGGGAAACTCTGGTGGAAGCTCGTAGCGATTCTGACGTGCAAATCGATCGTCAAATTTAGGTATAGGGGCGAAAGACTAATCGAACCATCTAGTAGCTGGTTCCCTCCGAAATTTCCCTCAGGATAGCAGCAACTTAATTTACGATAGTTTTATGAGGTAAAGCGAATGATTAGAGGCCTCGGGGAAGAAACTTCCTCGACCTATTCTCAAACTTTAAATGGGTAAGACCTGTGGGTTTCTTAATTGAACCTGTGGACGTGAATATCCAAGTTGCTAGTGGGCCATACCGGGTAAGCTGGTCTGGCGATGCGGGATGATCCGAACGCAAAGTTAAAGTGCCAAAGTACCCGCTCACCTAGATACCATAAAAGGTGTTGATTCATTTAGACAGCAGGACGGTGGCCATGGAAGTCGGAATCCGCTAAGGAGTGTGTAACAACTCACCTGCCGAATGAA